ATAAATTTAATTAAAAATATATAAATTATAATAAAAGTAAATTTTTAGTTTTTAATATAAATTTATAATATAAAAACTCAATAATAAGACTTCCAAATTCTTAAAAATAAAAAAATAAAAATGAAAGTTAATAAAAGGGTTGTTTCGTCACGGACACAAAACTACTCAACCTGGTAGCTTATCCAAAACCCAGAACAAAACCTCAACGGCAGCTCCACTGCGGCAGTAAGCAGCTCCGGAAGCGGAAGCAAACGATGAACAATTTCAATCCTTTCTATCTAATCTTCAAAGCGAAAGGAAGAGCACGTCTCATAGCCCACCTCAGATACTTCGCAAATACAAGCTACAGGCAATTGGGTGAATGTCTCGAGTTCCCCATCAAGGTCGTGCTCTCCCCTTTCACTCTCCCTTTTGACATTGCCGGCTCTGCTCCTCGCGGCTTTGGCGTCCCCGAGTTCATCTCCAAACTCTCCGCCGCTTCAGTCTTTGTAAGTTGTCATTTATCTTTCACAAGTTTAATTAGTACGATTTTTTTTTCCTCCAAAGTTCTGTGCTTTGATGCTAAAATGGGTGACTTGTTTTCATTTTCTTGGTGGGCTTGTTCTTCTGTAATCCGATTGTTTCCTTAAATGTGGGTTTTTGTTGATGCACAAAATGAGTTGTTTTGCCCCTCTGGTAATGGCTAACCGGTAGCATGAATTCATTAATTTTTGTGGGTTCATTGCAGGCTGTTGCTGCATTGGGAACCTATGATGTTGCATTAGAACTGGGAAAGAAGGTGATATGTCAAAGGTGATTTTTTTTCATCCTTTTAAAGTTCTATTCTCGGTCTTGCTTGTCATTAGTGTGTTTTAAAGTCTGATGCTTTGTTACTTGAGATTTGTCTATGATGAGCAGGAACTGTAGGACCTGCAGTGGATGGCAGGCCTTACGTTGTACCATGTGCAAAGGATCAGGGGAGGCGCGCTACCATGTCAAAAATTACACCTTGAGAAGGTAGATCCCATACCTAGCCAGTTTTTCAGTATCGAACTATAAGCCTTTATCATATAATCTATTTCATGGTTGTCCTTGTATGTAAATGTATCTGGGTTAGTTATGGTTCCACTTGACAGAAGAAGTAGGATGAGCAATTTAGATTCAGTTATAGCTTGCATAAAATGACAATCTAGATATGCTTGTTTTGGTGCTCAGGTTGACAAAGACTTGTTGATATTGGATATAAAAGAGTTGTTATTTCGATCATCATGAACTTCATTTGGGTATCTAGCACTTAATTCCACCAAACATGGTAATGATTAAATTTTTTTCTTATTTTTTATTCTCTATCAGTGGAGAAAGGCCTACAGCTGCACATGTTGCAGATGCCATAGTTGATGATAGAGCTGAGTTGGTGCATCTTCCATCCAGCTTTGATCTTAACTCACCATTACCCTTCAAAGACTGCCCAACTTGTGATGGAACGGTGAGACATATGTTTCTTGGCATGTGGCAGTTAGTTGCCACAAAGTTCCCCTTCCCATTATACTGTCATCTGGTACTCTTTGAAGTATTTTTAACATGTTAATATTAGGTTCTGATTCTTGGATGAAACATCTATTGATGGTGCAGGGTGTAATGGGTTGTCCTGAATGCAAACACAAATTACAAGTCAGGATCTCTGTAGATGATGTGAGTTAATTTATCAGCTTGTTAATAGATGAATGTTGTCATATTTTACATTGGACTAATCTAATCTCCTATTAAGGGAAAAAGGGTTTGTCTTAAACTATGGTCTGGATGTAAATAAATACCTCAAATACATTAAAAGGGGCTGTGGACAGATGATCGCAATCCTACATGCACACAGAAATATGTAAGAGGAAACACCATTGTAGAATTGGGCAATCCAAAGATCATAAAATCAAGCTATAAACTTATTATATTTTATCCTTTCCTTGGCCTTATATCATGTTATTGTTTACCTGGTTTTTATAACGCTGGAGTTAAACATCTGCCACCAAAATGTATTTATTTATTTTTCTTTGTTTGGTGGTACAATTGGCAACACTTCATGTTTTCTGTAGATCATGGAGCCTCCATGGAAAGCCTGTGATGTGCTGAGAAAGATGGACTATCCCTACGAGGCAAGTATCACATCTTATCCAATCTCTCTATGCTTGCCACTGTTTATCTTTCTTGTGGTAGTAGGTTGTTATATTGTTCTTACTAGCAGTGTTCTTTAATTTTTATTTTTTTTTAGTTGGCCAATTTTTACCAGCAGTGTTTGTTCAAAGAGTATCTTCTTTCTTTTTCCCATAATTCAAGATTAACTTGTTTGGTAGTAGTTTTCTTTGATTATTTTGAAAGCCAGTCAATTTCAAGTGTAATACATTTTTTACAGTTCAACTTGATATCTCTGCAAACTCATTCTAAGTAGATGCACATATGTAGATTACTAAATACTTGTAACTGCTCAGGAAAAGAAAATTGGCGAAACAACAGTGTGATTTTTCATTGACTATTCATCTTTAACATCCAACAATGCTAACAGCTAAAAGTTTTCTATTTTGTTTTTGTTTATTATAATGCCAATATTATCCCTAAGATCATTTATCCATTGAACAGGTCTTCATAGACACCATTCTGATCACTTCTTTTGCTCATATGATTTAGTATTCTTGATTTTGTTCACTGTTTCAGCACATTGTTCACAGCATGCAAGACCCCAGCATTGCAGCATTTTGGTTGTTTACCTTGCCTCAAGTTTTGGGTGGATTTGACCATGATGATGATGTGAAGCAGAAAATCTGGTGGCAATACAAGGTTTTCTGTGCACAAACGCTACTCCTCCCCTCTCCCCAGTTTCTTTCTTTAAAATTTCTTTGATGCTTGGAGCTATTTGGTCATACTCTCTCAATTTATTAGTTGTCAGGTCCTCTCATTATCTACAGACATCCTTTGCTAGCTAGTAAGTAGCTTGAGCCAAGTTTCTGAAAAACATTAAAATCAAGTAGGAAAATAAATGTACATCATCACACTTAGTACCTGGTTGAAATGTATTCTCCTGCCAACTGCTAATGATTTTGTATTTTTCCTTCATTATAATTTCCTTTTGCCCTTTGGTATATGATTAACACTTAAGCAAAAGTGAAACATGGAACTGATGCACTCATGCACATCCCTGCCTGAGTGTTGTTTCCTTGTTGTCTGGGTGACTGGCCTGATCTCTAACTAAGAAATGTGCAAAGGATGCTAAAAGTTATATGCTTCTTGCGTGGATAAATTTTTACAGCCACTTAAATTGGCTTCTTATGCTTATGCTCTTGTTTGTTGTAATGCTATTCTGGAGCATCCCTGTAATCATTAAAATTTCTGTTGGATATAGGAATCTATGCGATATGATCAGCTTCGGGATGTGGTGGCTAAGCGAAATCCTGGTTGGGAGCACCTGCAGGAAGTATGATAATGCTCCTATTTTGGTGTTTGGCCATCATAGCATGTAGAGTTTAATTAATGTGAATCCATCAGCTGGATGCTATATCTATTGCAGTGTGCTACATGCTGTTGCAATTGCTCTTGATTCTTTGTTTGCTGAAAGTTCATAATTTCAATTGATCTAACATCCACAGGCCTTGATTACCATAGATCCTGACCGTGCTAGGGAAGACCATGTTGTAGTGAAAAATATCCCTTACCACAAAGCCAGAAAGGCACTTGAGGCAGAAGTGCTGAAGCTTGATCCTCCTCCACGACCAGATAATTGGGGCGTGAGTATTTTCTTTTTATTATTCTTTTCAAGCATTTTATATCTTGTAACTTTTATACATTTTCATGGTGCCAGTAGTTGGAAAGGAATGTAGTGAATGTAGTGGCAATAATAATAGATCTAACTGCAGAATTTTGACAGGAGCTGGACCTTCCACTGAGTGAATCTTCTTGGAGTGAGGCTGATCTTAAGGATCCAGCAAAACTGTATGAAATGACTGTTCTTCTTAATGCCCAAAGAGAAATAGCAGATAAAATTTTAGATGCACAATGGGAAACCAAATGGCGCCAAGAGAAGGTTAATGCCTTTAGATGTATATTCTGCTTACACTACTAATTGAATGTTAAATATTTTCTAAATTTGTTCTAGGTCCTTCTTCATTACATGGGCACTTTTGATGCTGGTAATTAATTTTGTGTGCATTTCCCATTTTCATCTAATGACCTAATTATAGCAATCTTCTGAAGATTTAAATACAAATTTTATTATTTTTATTTTTAAAAAGTTGTATACCAATTATTTTAAAGTGGCCCTGCTGTATGTTAGTTTGCTGATTATAATGTGGCATTGTAGAAATCCAAATTTTCATTTGCACAAGTTATATAGGTTGTTTCAGTGAATCCTATACAACCCTAATTACTGTGTCAAATTCTATTAAACCTAAAAGTTTAAGCTAATAGTGAAGTTCTCAATTACCTTATGTATTTCTGAACACTGCCACTCACCAATATTTTGTTCATCAATCCTACTAAATTTTAATACTTTCAGCTGAACGAGATGTTGGAGGAGAAGTTACTGCCATACATTCTGAAAATTGATAATGCTCCCCTTCCTCAATCTATTGTAACAGAATCACAAAATCGGGATCAAAAGGTTCTTGCATATCTTGTACTTGTTTAAAAATTCCCATATAATTTGCTTGAGTAGAGTAGAAACTGCCATTTATTGGTCTCATAGCCTCACATTTATATATTTCTGACACTGTCAATGGCCAATATTTTTTACATCAACCCTGTTTTATTTTGATGCTCTATTTTCAGTTGAACAAGAGGTTGAAGGGGAAGGTACGGCCATAATATGGATAATGCAGCTCTTCCTCGGGCTATTGTAATAGGATCATAAAATTATATCAAAAGGTTCTTATTCATCCCTTGTATTTGTTAGAAATTTTTACATGTGATGATTCAATTTTCCCTTGAATAGAGTAGAAACTGCTGTTTATTGGTCCCATGATGATTCATTTTTTCCTTGAATGGAGTAGAAACTGCTGTTTATTGGTCCCATGACCTCAGATCTATGTTTTGTAGTCAACATAATGAATCTTGGATAGTATGCCATGGATAGAATTCTGATGTTAATGCATAATGAAAATTTTGCTTTCCAAGACACAGAATAGGATCCCTGAGACCTTATTTTGGTTTCCATGAACCAATTGTAGATCTCTCTGCATGCTCTCGTTGTTAGTTTTAAACATGTAAACGTTCTGTTCAGGCTTTCAGCCTCGTTAAATTTTAATTCATGCATCAATAATGGTAACTCATGTTTATGTTGCAGCCAGCTCAGTGAAGGAGACGGTTTTCTACTAAATAGTTTCACCTACTTTTGTTCCTGGTAATGATTATATGGCTGTACTCTTATCATCACTTCTCCTGCTTCCATATTTTTTATTTTTCAGGCCACTAAGAATGTACTTACTAGATGATGAGAATAAATACTATCATATCTATGTTCTGTTGTTGTTGTTTTTTTTTTGAACAAGAAGTTGGAATTCAAACTCCATATTTCGATTTACATGGGAATGCCCTTACAACAAAATAGGTGTACAGTAAGCCACAGAAGATTTCTCTATGTTCCTATGTTGTTTAACTTTCATTTGGTTAAAATCTCTGGCCACCCTTGTAGGGGGAGGCTGCTTGTTCCCAGATTGTGGTTGCTATAAAATCACAGATAAACTAGGAGCAAGTTAAGACTCTGGGAATAACCTCGTCCCCCGATTCTGGTTGCTAGTGAAAAAGTACGTGCATGCACTACCTTGCCGACATAGCAGCACCCATTATTTGTACTGTCACGATCGAAATAAATGCATTGTTTTGAATAATTGATGCATTGTAGCTATGTTCACACTGTACGGCACAGTTGAGGTGACAGATGGGATGTGATGGGACACTGCATTGCCGTTTCCCTTGACTCCACGGTATAAGTCTTCTCCGTTTTAGTACGAATTCAGATTGAGGCATTAATCTCTTCTGCATCATCTCTAATTGCAGGACTGTTCTCAGTTTGAGGATGTTTGGTTCGGGGAAAATTTTTTTAATTTTTTTTGTAAAGTTATTTATTTATTTATATTATAATAAAATAAGAATAAAAATAATATTTTTAATTTTTATTTATTTTAACATATTTTTTAATTTGTAAAATTTTCTCTTTATTTTTTTTTTAAAGTTTCTTTATAATTATTTCTATATGGGGTTTAATAATTTTTTTACTAAATTTTTTATATTAGTTTCTTATCAAATGAATTTAATAATTTAATAAAATTTTATTACAAAATTTAATAACTTTTTGTATAATTTTTTTATTTACTTTTTTAATAAAGCTTTTACGTTAAAATAACATTCTAACCAAATAAATTCTTAATGTTTAGTACAAATGTTCCTCAACCAGAACCATATTGGTCCTACATCTAAATGGTTTTGATTGGAGAGTACTATCCCCAACCAAAGTAGAGATGGAGATGAGACTCTTTTTCTAATTTTGATGGAAGAATGCGATGCATTATGCATCCTTTCAAGTTTCAATTCTCATAACTAATTTTTTGTTTAAAGTTGAGGGAAATTTTTATGGTCACTTAATAAATTGTAAGGATCACATAAATTTTTTTAAAAATAATTAATTATGATATTTAAAAATAGTAATATATAAATTACTTTTAATTTGTTAAGTAATAAATATTAATTAATTAATTAATTGCACCTGGGTCTAGAGGCCCACTGGCATTAGCCAGCTTGTTAAGTGCATTCCCCCCTCCTTTAGCGGGTTTCGAACCCGTTCCGTATCAAAATGTTCAAAAAAAATAATAATAAATAAATATTAATTAATTAATAATTATAATTATAATTATTTTTAATTATTAAATTAAATGTAATTAAATTTTAAAAAATAAAATTTAAAGACTTATCTAACTCAAATAATTGAATTTATTAAGTGAAAATAACTATTCAAGAGGTGGAGCCATGGAAAGTTTATGTGGAGGAAGAGCTGATTTTCCCACGCCCTTTTCCATTTGTCTCCAACAACGTGGCTCTTTGAAGTTTGAAACAACATTTTCCTTTGACGGTGCCATTATTATTGATTGAAAACGCCCTCCCATGTTGTCATTACTATACTTTTGTAGTTATGTTTTTAAAATATAGATTAAATGTATATGAAATATATTTTTTTGTTATTAATTTATATTAAAAATGAAAATTTATTTTTAATTTA